TTCACATGATCCGTCCATGGTATTCTTAGCATCATTTTGTAGGTTAACATCTCTGTTGCTTCAAGTCATCTCTTCTTCTATGAAGATACACAGTATAGATAAAAATATAATCATTTAGGACACCTTAGTCAAACACAAAGCAAAAATAGTGAAATACTATGGAGAATGGAGTTTACTACAGGAGCGAATTTATTCACAAACTCATCTTGTTATATATATAATTTATTTAAATATAACTGATTATTTTTCAGCGTATTTAAAGCTCATGCCTCAGAATTATCTTCTATAATGGAATTTACACAATAAAGATGGCCATCTACTATTTATTTAGATTGTATAAATTATACAGAAAAGAGAACAATACCTAATGCTGTTAAAATGTTCTCAAACAGAATTAGTCTTTTGTTTCATTTCAACGTCTGTGATAGCTGTAATCATGGGAGATTTGAAAAAAAAGTTAGCTAAGTGATTAAATAGTTGAACTGAGATTTGATAGTAGTTCGATGCAATCAGTTATTGATGGCTTAAAACGACACTGGATCATTTGTAGATAATAAGATTGCATTGTACATTCTAAGATTTAAATTTTTCGCAGGTTGCTAAATCAACATTAAAAATCCAGCTTTTGAGTCGGCTAGTCACTTTAGGCACTGATCAACGCCATATTGTATTGAGTTTTTCTTGGACTATCAGATACCAATAAAGATATACGTCGGGTTTATAATGTTGGATTCGGATTTTTGCTAGCTATGGCTCCATGATAAGCACTCAGTCTATTTCAGAACTTACATCAGATTCTAGTAAATGCGATACTACTGTAATGACAAAAATACGCAGGTGTAGGCATTAAGAAAGCTTTATTCATCTGATAATAAAAGGTTCGCGTATAATGTCGTTTTATAGTCCCAGTAAATAGAAATAGCTCTCACAAAGAGGAAAGTAACAAAACAAGGGGAGACTACTCTTGTTTATTCATAACAACTACTAATGTATCTCCATAATAAGGTAATTTAATGTTTCTTGTTAGCAGAGAGAGCATATTATCATCATTTAAACAGAGGCCTAATATAGGTGATAAGGGGATGAATTATCTCATATAGAGATTTCTATAAGCATTCCTGTATACGAAAAATATGAATAAAGATAGAATTATATGCACATGAAGGCATCTGCTAATCTGTTAATTTCATTAAAATCCAGCTCAGTTACTTGTTAATAGATAAGAGTTTACAAACTTGAACTTGACCTAGGGATTTGCGTTTCTAAGGAATCCATTCTATAATCTATTTTGATCTTTACAAGAAAGCTAAGAATAACGCATGGAAAAGGAGTGTTAGAATTCTTATTCGCAAAAGATTATTAAGAAATGGATATAAAATAAGGCGAAAAAATGTGTTACAAAACCGAGCACAGAAATAGATATTTTTAACGAATATGTAAGAATGATTGATGACAAAACGTTTTACATTTTATATTTGAACCAGTTCCTCTCTCTCTTTCTCTTTTTTTTATTTGTTTTAATATATATATATATATATATATATATATATATATATATATATATATATATATTTATGATTAATTAAATAATAAATAATTACACATATATATATATATATATATATATATATATATATGTATAATAGATACTAAGATCAATAACGTGGAGCGACAGTCACTTTCATGCATGAACTCAGGCTTCAGGCCAATGAAGATTGCGTTCAAGCATGAAACAGACTGTTGCCACTCGGTGTTGTATACTAAATAATTAATTTCATTTATTTTTTTACTAGGATCAGTAGGGGATATATTAGTGTTTATGAGACTTTTAGAATTTCTTTTACACCTGCTTATAGTTAGAATGCATTTAATTACGCATTTGATATGTTAAATTTAATATTACCAATCTAGTCATTTATAACAACACTTCTCCGTCAACTAGGTCTTACAAAAGACCAACATTGTATATTAATTTAATTGTCCTTTGGAGGATTGCATCTCTGAAAAAAATGTTAATACGTATGTTGGTTTTAGAACAACGACGATGATGACATGGCTTACGTTTCACTTGAACGATCCTAGTTCAATCTCAGAACGTTTAAAGGAACACACATTTTCATATTCAGAGTTTTGACAGATATTATTCTACTACTTAAACTACACAGTGCTTTATCGAGATAATAATAAGAAAAAACTACTGGAAGCCTTTTGTATAAGAAAATTGCGGCCCAAAATAAATAAACCTAACTACCAGTATAGCAACAAAGTTCCTAAATGTTTGTAGCAGCAAAGTTTTATATAAATGTACTAAATTAAAATACTACAATTAAAAATTCTATTAAAAAATCACATAAGTTATCTCACTTGCATAGACGTAAAAATATTTTGAATTTATGGTGTTAATGCATAGCATATCCTTAGTTATGCAACCACAGGAGACGTGATTGAATTACTTGGGAAAATATAAAATATTTGAAAGAAAATTTTGGAATTTTTCGTAATCAACTTTCTACAGCCACCAAGAAATTAATTCGTGAACTTGAAATGATTAAAACTAAAATAAATAAACATGATACGTCTAAATTATTTAACCGAACATGCATGAATAAAAATATATTTTCCTATATATATATATATATATATATATATATATATATATGTGTGTAATATCAGTGGTCAATATATATATATATATATATATATATATATATATATATATATATATATATTGGAATAGTCATCACGATTTCATCAGACCTACAAAATCAAAATCTGAATTTTTTTGAATTTGTAGGTCTGATGAAAATCCATCATTAATTCCAATGTAATAAATTATAACCATGGAATATTAGTGTTTGAGCCTTATATATATATATATATATATATATATATATATATATATATATATATATATATATATATATTTTCAATAATTTTCACCTTGAGCCACTCAAGATAGAGAGTTACATAATAAGATGGACAGTTTATGGGGATATGTGGGGAATATAAAGTTTAACCCTTGACTTACATACCAGTAATTGAGGAAATGGTCCCACAAAGGAGTTTTTACAGTGATGTTCACCCTGTATATGGCCCTAGGGATACTCCTGTTAGAGGGTTACAGAGTAAGAGACACAATTTATGTGGAAGCGTTGGGGAGATAACAGTTAACCCTAGGTTCGAACAGATTAAAATTGTAGGGATCGAGGAAGCAACCTTTGATACCACAAGACATTAGTTCCAGGGAAGAAGCTACTCAAGTAAAACTTACATCTTCCTAGTGGAATACGAAGAGAATGAATGTGTTTCGCTACAATGTCTGTGACAAGGCGAGTCTTAGCCGTGAGGGGCTAGAACTAGTGGAGCTAATAGATCGTATGTTAACTTTCTATGGAAATACCGATAGAGTAGCAAAAGGTTTGCAACGTTACGTCTGTGGAAAATTCGTTGTAGGGTGGGAAATAATTGATCCCACACAAGGACGTGGAAACGCTTCTGGAGACTATCAAGTCTGAAAGATGACTAGGCAACTCCTGTTCAAATATAGTAGTAGTACTCCCATTTTCGCGGCACTTGTAAAGGTTGTGTATAGCAGGAAGGATCAGGTACGTCTTGAGGAGGTAACATTTTTCCAGCATCTTTAGTGATATATCGTATGTATGAGTTTCACTTGAGGTCTGTGTTGAGTAAGTTCCAACGGACTCTCAGGGCATGGAGCCTCTCTGATAGAACACTTGTTCATCGAGATAGGTGAAAATTATCGAGAGAGTGTCAGAGACATATTAATAACGGTAACGGTAATCAGCAAGGGATGCTGAAAAGTTATTGATTATGATAATTTGGTTTGGCTGAGAACATTTCATCATTATCTGTTTAAATTATGCATACATGTTTGAACAAAGGTTATCTATTAAATTAAATTGATAAATACGTGTGTTAATATAAATACATATATATATATATATATATATATATATATATATATATATATATATATATATATATATATATAGAGAGAGAGAGAAAGGGGGAGATACAGAGAAAGTAAGAGAGAAAAAGACAGAGAGAGAGAGAGATAACTGATTAGGCTAAACTAGTCGAGATGAATACCCATTGATAAACGAAGTGGCAGCTGTAGCTATAACCTCGGGGATAAGCTTGCTAAACATCGGTTTATGGCAGACATCCCTTGCAATTTATGGCTTCTTACACTTTCTGCCTTTCTATGAATAGATGGACAGATACGTAAGAGAGAAAGGAAACTAGATTAGGAAATACTGAGGAATGAAAGAAATATTGAGATATGGAGAAGACATAGAGAGAAGGGAAATCTCTCTATCTCTCTCTCTCTCTCTCTCTCTCTCTCTCTCTCTCTCTCTATATATATATATATATATATATCTGTGCGTGTGTGTGTGTAAAGATACAGAAAAGGGGATAAATATAGAGAAAAGATAGCGTTATCAAGAGGCATATAAATACAGAAATATAGAGAGAAGTTATATAGAGATATAGACAAAAGAAGATATCTATCTATCTATCTATCTATCTATCTATCTATCTATATATATATATATATATATATATATATATATATATAAAGAAATACAGAGAAGAGAAAAATATTTGGACAAGATAGAGAGTTATAGAGAAGAAAAAGACATTAGTAATATAGATATATATAGACACAGAAAGAGAGACAAAAGAGTGGAATGGAGATAAAGTTATTAAGAAGAGATATATCAGTATGAAGAAATATACACACGCATATATATATATATAAATTATATAAATATATATATATATATATATATATATATATATATATATATATATATATATATATAAAAAAAGAGATATAGAGATCTATAGAAGAAAAATATTTAGAAAAGAGATTTTGCGAAGGGATATAGAGAATATAAAAGTTATATCGATTTAAAGAAGATGAGGACAAATTAAAAATGAAGAGAAATTTAATTCAGAGAAAAGTAGTCTAAAATTTACAAAGCGAGAATGCATATGAACATTGAGAGATAGACAGAGAGAGAGAGAGAGAGAGAGAGAGAGAGAGAGAGAATTAAATTTTTCTGTCTCTGTTGAAAGAAGAGCAATTCTGCGTGTGCGTTTGGCTAGAAGACCTGAAGATTATTAGGATCTTTACAGATGGAACTTACGTCAACAGGCATCGCATTAAAAATGGAAAAATATGAAGTGAACTGCTGCTATCATATAGATATGCTCTCCTCAAAATTAAAAAAAAAAGTCTCGGAGATGATTTAATTAGCTAATTCGCCGTACACATACCCGTATATACGCGAGGTCCCACAAGCGCATTCACATGCATAAGCACACATGCGTACTCATGCATGTACAACAGCAACAGATGAAATTAAACGCACAGATATCTAATGAAATTAGATGAGAGAGAAAGCGTTTCCTCATAAGCCTAGCCGAATATTTGACGCCTCAGGCGGTTTCTTTTTAAATAGAAAGATGAAAAAATGCAATAAAGAATCAAAATAAGATAAAGTCTAATTATTAAAGGTCTCGTTAAACAATAAGATTAGAATGTATTTTAAAAACTGAGGATGAAAAATCAAATATATTTCTTTATCTCTAAAGTAAAACTTTTCCCTGAATATAGTTCTATGCAAACCGTGTTTAACGCATTCTGATTCAAATGACATGGTAAGTAAGAGTGGCTTAAAGCAAAGAATAGAATTAAAACTAAAAGTAAAGCAAATATAAGCCGGAAAACAAAGAAATGATTGGTTTAGCGGATATTCCGCTAAGACTTTGAACTAGTAAATAAGGAAAGATTCTTTGATGGTTCTACTGAATATAATTGTATAATCCATACCACTAGCTGTAATTTGGTTTATATGGGAAAGGTATGAATCCTCTTCTCACCAGCTATGGGTAAATAGTAGGACAGACCGCGTTCTATAGCCTTGGATGGAGACCGCAGAAAAAATGACAACCTACTGCGTGAAAATAGTCTGCCTCGTCAGTCATGTATCGAAAGATACATGATCGCCTAAGTGTGTATCAGGCATGGCACATAACAGACTGACTGATCTATCTATCTATCTATCTATCTATCTATCTATCTATCTATCTGATATATATATATATATGTGTGTGTGTGTGTGTGTTTGTGTGTGTATGTATATATTTAACACCTATATACATTTCTTGCATGTTGCCATTTCTTACTTAAATCTTTTATATCTAATTTTCTTTTTATCCAATTTAACTACTTATTAGAGGCATTTCTCTCTATATATACATTTTCTATTATAGGTGTTTACTAAGCGTATTTTACTCACACAAGGGGTAAGTATTGTGGGGCATATATCTAATATAAATATCTACTTAGGTAAATTTAGTCTGATAAGCAAACACAAATTATGGATGCACGACCATCTATCTAATAGAGGGATTTATAAAAAAATGTATTTAAATTCAGCACAGAATGATTAAATAGATACAACGCCACACTCATAGAATATCAATCTACAAGTTAGTGTGCGATGGATAAATTGTCATCTAAATTACTTAAAAAAGAAAATAACACTGACATCTCATTTTAACAGATATATTTCCCAAAATTAAACAAAAAATATCTTGAAATACTAAATAGTAAATTTATTCCATAAAGTTCGATTCAACCACGTCCAGAAGACTTCAGAATCTCTTGCAACTCTTCAGGACTGTCACCTTGTTTAAGTTGGTGAATGTTACAATAATCATTACTTTCAATTCATCTTTTGTGTTACAAGGAGTTTTGTTGGTCATTTGCTCAACTGAACCCCACACAAAATAATCAAAGGGGTTGCAGTATGGAAAGTTAGGTGGCCATATGTAAGGAGTGATGAGGTCGCAGAAATTGTCTGACAGCCATAAACTGCTGCTCGTGTGGCATGATGTAGATTCCCGTTGCCAGATATAGCGTCTTCCAGCAGGCACCCTCTTGACCCAGGACAGCACAACATCCTCCAGACACGATGTAGGCCTCCGTGTTGTGAGTCTGAGTCCCTATGGGAAGATTAATGGAGGTATAACATCGCCATCACTAGGGATCATTCCAAACACCTTTGTAACCACAATTGGACTCATCCAACTCTTTCCGAATCCTCTGCACAATCCTCATATTGACACCAAAACACTTTCAAATGTTTGTATCTAGCCTTCCAAATTTTTAACGGAGTGCATTGCTTCATTGTGCTCTTTTTTTCATGGACGGTGTCCAACTGACCCTACTATAATATGCAGTCGACAAAATGAAAAACACACAACGCGCATGCGCAAAATTAAAAATATAAAATGGCGATATTTACCCATCACATCATCTCTCTATCTATCTATCTAGCTAGCTGTTAAGCTTAATTTAGTCCTACACTTGATCACAATGAGAATTGCCCAGTATGTTCCGAACGAATTACAAGATTAGGAGTAGTTAACGGTAGTTGGACGTCTCTCTCTCTCTCTCTCTCTCTCTCTATATATATATATATATATATATATATATATATATATATATATATATATATATATATATATATTATTTAATGTGTTATTATTTAGCGGTTACTTGTATTTGAAATAGTCGCCTCATTTTCATTTTTACTTCAAACAGTCGGTATTACGTCTATCGGCCAGCGTATTCGACGACTCTTAATAAAGGAAATGTGTTCTCGGGAGTGATCGAACCTCTCTGTCCACATTTTGTTGGTGAAACCACCGTTTGTTCTAGCATCATTTATGACTGTTCGTCAAGGAAGAGCGTTGCAGTTCAGCAAGGATGTATTTTTCCTTATAAAGCATGCACACTACGTCACTAAGATGTTTACTAATCTTTTTCTTAATTTATTCTATTCATTTATTTCTTTGTATTTCTCTCATATTAATGTAACTTTTGCGCACATTAAAATAAAAAAAAAAATTATAAAAATAAATGAATAAATCGCAGTCTTTTTTGTGCGGCCTTGTTCCCAGTAACCGTTAAAAATGATGTCACCTTTTACTATTTCAAAGTTCTAGCTTTCAAATGAATACCGGGATGTAGACAAAGGAATTCTGCTTGTCACACAGACACCACCTTGGTTCTTGAAAATAACTGTGATTGTCGAAAGTACGTGAACAAAACACTAACAGAATCCAAACTTCGGACAATCCATCCAAAACTTCGAGCACAACATTCCACACCTTATTCGAAAAAAAAAAAAAAAATTAACAGACAGATCGTTTCTTTTTAATCAAACTATATATATATATATATATATATATATATATATATATATATATATATATATATGTGTGTGTGTGTGTGTGTGTGCAGAGACATCGTCAAACACATATCCATCATAATCGACATGAATGTCACCATCGCATAAATATCAAATATAAATCTCGTTTGTGAGTTTATAAATATGCAGCATCTGAAGTTCCCTTCTATATACAGGAAAGAAGTAAATGCTGAATAAAATTGATTTAAGTTTATTCAGAGAGAGAGAGAGAGAGAGAGAGGGAGAGAGGGAGAGAGAAAGAGTGAGAGATACTGAGAGAGAGAAGGAGAAAGAGAAAGAACAGGAGAAATAGAGATTGGATGAGATAAACAGAACGAGAAAAACAGTATCTGTGTGAGTGTTAAAAGAAATCGAGTGAGGGAAAGAGAATAGCTCATATCTGAAATATCTAACTTCCAGTTAAGACTACAGATGATGTCTTTTTCTTCTTCTTCTTCTTCTTTATGATGCGAGTTTGTCTTGTTCGTCTCTGTGTCTGTGTGTTCGTAGCCCTATTCAAGAACTGCACTTAAGTAGATGCTATTACCTTAGCATATCTTAGTTTGGTACAAGGCCACTGATACTGGAGCAACACTGAATATCAGTATTCATAATAATGAACAGCTACATGAACTTGGCAAAGAATTCCCCAGCTAGAGTAGCCCCCACTAATAAAAGATGGACAAAAGGTACATATGCATGGTTTTGTCTATATAATGTTATTCCGTTTTACACACACAAAGACTACATCAGATTATCTATCTATCTATCTATCTATCTATCTATCTATCTATGCGCAAATAACAATTTTACACACGCAGTGTCCACGTATATATATATATATATATATATATATATATATATATATATATGCACACACATATATATTGAAAATGAACTAGGATGAGATTATGTTGAATGTTTAATATTTGTTGTATAAAATAAATGTTATTTTCCTAATACGGGTTTATTGTCTACATATGTGAACACACACGCAAATATATATATATATATATATATATATATATATATATATATATGTATGTATATCGAGGTAAGATGTGAACGAATAGAGTGCAATTCCAACATTAATTTATTTTAAATTTAACCTAGGTCATACTTTATTCTTTGATCAAGGCAAAGCCGTACAAACTTTATAACCATAGACACTCTTTTGTTTTTCGTAAGAAGAGGCTGTATTTTGATTTTAAATCTGATTAAATCGTTCACTCGCCAGTAATTTACAATCACCTGATGAGGTGCGTTTTAAGAGCATCGAAACAAAACTGCAATTGTGTAGCGATTTCGCCATGTTTTCGATGTAATATCCTAAAATAACGAATAATATCTATATATATTTATATATATATATATATGCATACATACATACACGAAGACATACATACACATAAACATGTATACATATGTGCCTCAGTGCATAAACACTAATAGCAACGCAGAAAAAAAAAATTTCTCAAGAATACAGAATATATGTATCATGTTGCTTCTTCTTTTCAGAAAGTTTTAATAACCTTATTTTATTTTTACCTGTTAAGGAGACAAATTTGGCTGAACCTCTATATTTCAGTGTTTTATGAATAATTTTGGTGTAAAGACAACAAACTTACTCTTGTAGTTGCACAAAATATTTCTCTCCCTGAAAATGTTCAAACAATTCATTCAAGAAGACTTCCCAGATAATTTTCTTTTTAAAATCATGTAATTTTGTAAATGATTTCTGTCAATGAAAAGAAACATTTTCAAAGTTACTACGAATTGACAAAATCTTTGACATAACAGTTTTTCCGGAAAATAGATTTCTGATATTGATGGTGGGGGTGGGGTGGAAGATCAACATTTTAATTATGCCGTTATTTTAATTTTGAATTACATGTGCTCTCCATTTTTGTTTTTGCCGCTGTTGGACGTCTTCAATGAAAATGATCTTTTCTTTATTTGGTAAATTTCATTGTGATTGTGTAACAAGTCTGTCAGAAATGACGAAGACTAATCTTTTTTAAGATCTGCATGATTCCTACACGTGAGGCCATTTTAATCATTAGTTTGAGAACATTTTTGAATATAGCTGATGGTTTAGGCATTTTGGAACGCGGTAGACGATATGCATGATATTCACACCAGAGTCCAAATCTGACGATGCTATTTAAGTGTTTGACTCGATTTCTCACGTTAATATTTCTGTTTCGTAGTAGATTGAAGTTTTGGACAAAACTTTATCTAACTTTCCTTATCGCCTATACTAAATTTGTTATAAGTGATCCATGAACCAAGGCATTTGCTTACTATTTATTAATTCCATATGCTGCGTTTTTATGATGGATTCAGTGTAGATACCATTATTACTTTCGTTCCAATTCCAGATTATAATTTCTGTTTTGTAAGGGTTTATCGTAAGTCTTACTTTTTGGAATATTTCGCAAAAAAATATGATCATTTTTTTTCAAGATGATTTTTATATAACTATGAACACCGCATAGCACACTCATCATTGATAAATAGACTTTTGTGGGAAAACAGGAATGCTATAATTTATAGATATAGCATAAAATTCAAAAAGAAAAATACAAAAAACAATCTCAAATATAATAACATACGTGCATAAAAATAAAATTATGAAAAAATGAAGACAATGAAAAAAACCTTTTGAAAATACCGATTCAAATAATGTAAATAAATTTGTAAATGAAATAATCTGTATATTTTTTAAATTATTTTGGTTGTGACTTAAAATTTAAATATAGTCTCTCCTCTCTTTTTTTTCTTTTGTTATTTTTCATTTATGATGGCTACTAAAATCATATTACATGAAACTTTTTATAGGAAATACCATCCTTATAAAAGCTTGTCTAAGAAAGTGACAGGTAGAAATTAAACGAAAATTATCTTGTAGAATATCAAACATCACTCCAAGGTGCGGAATATGGTGTTTGAGTTGTAACAGTAATAAATATATAATAATGAGAGCAATAGTAATATACTGGACCCTTCCTATACTGGACAAAAAATGACGTCTATGGATCTAGAGGATTAGAAAATTAATGACCATGTATGGAATTCTTTCTTACAAAAGTTGAGTCGTTAAAGACTTTATAAAGAGAGAATGTCGATAAATTTTATTGGTAGTAAAATTATTTACTCGAGCGTCAGTGGAAAAAAGAAAACTCCGCAAAGGAAAAGCATGACTGCCAGAAACGGTAGCAACACTTCTTCATCATATGCCGTGTCACCTCAGGACGAATGCGATCATGGCTCTCAACAATTTCCTGTCGATTGTAGCTTTTAATAAATTTTGTATTTTTGTTATTTCGTCCAAATACTGTTCCGATGACCATTTAGTCATTTTAGTCAAATACACTAAGTAGGTGATGTCATGTTTTCCTCTCTGCCTCTTGCCTTTAAATCTGCCTTGTGAGTATCAGATTTTGCAATCCCTCCCTTTACATCTATATCTATTCTATATGTCTTAGAAATTTCAGCAGTTTTTTCTTGATGTTATGTTTAAAGTTTCTTTTTTTTCACTTTTCTCGTCGTTGCTCACATATTCGGTCTATGGTATCCTCAGCATTCTTCTGTAGGGCCACATTTCTGTTCGTTCCAATCTCTTACGAAAGCATAAGAGATAGTGAATTAGAAGGGGAAAAAAGTACTAGCAACGAAAAAATAGAAGAAAAAAAAGTATACAAGCCACAAAAAAGTAATTACAGATAGAATGACGTGGGAATTATATCTCAAAAGATATTTGGAAAACGAAATGGGATCCCCACTAAGAACAGCCTAGATAAGTGTCTTACAGTTAACAACATCGAAGGCAAAATAGACAAAAGAAAAAGAAAATAGCAAATATTGCCTGTGAAAAGACGAAGTTGACAAGAAATCATAGGAGTGAATATAAGAAATTAGATTAGTAGAAGTACGAAAATATTGACAATAGGAATGATGATTCACTGAGTATTGGGCAAAAGGCTTTTATTTGGCCCTGCAGATATATAACAAAAGCAAAAAAAATATTGTCCTCAAGAATAGTAGAAATTTCTATGACACTTTTAAACTCGGGTCACGAAAGCAGATATAGTTATCTTAAAGAACTACACGAAAATCTGTCAGATAATGACTGCAGACGTTTCAGAAGAATATACAAAGAAACTAAAAGAGACGGATGTTTTCAACAGTGTGGAATTAAGGAGAATATTTGCTGTCACTTTATTCCCAGAAAAATGTAATTAGATAATAAAAGTACAAGAAAATAATAATAATAATAATAACGGTTATTTTGTTGGTAGGTAACGGTTATATTTCAAATAATTCTAGGCGATATTGAGTGGTAATAATACAATAATATAATACACTATACACAATGCACTGACCTTTATATATAAATAGTCGAGCAAAATTACAACTCATATGTCCTAACGATTGCGTTTAAGCATGAAACAGACCGTCGCCTCTGGGCGTTGACTTCAATATCCACTTCTATATTTACATACGCTCTATACCTGAAATTATCATTTTAACCCATAAATATAGCTTGCCTGAAAACTATAATTTATCACACACACATTATATATATATATATATATAATTTATCGCACACACATTATTATATATATATATATATATATATATATATATATATATATACATAAAAGTGAACATTGAAGTCAACATTTAGAGGCGACAGGCTGTTTCATGCTAGACGCAATCGTCAGGCCACTTTTATATTTACACATGCTCTATCTCTGATATTGAGCACTTTATCCCATAAATATAGCACACCTTAAGAGTATATTTCTTCATATATATATATATATATGTATATATGTACTGTAAGACGTCTTACGACCACATAACGTTCTCGCACGATCATCGAAGTTAAGCAACCTCATATCTGGTCACTACCTAGATGGGTGACCGCTTGGGAATATCAGATATTGTAAGCTTGGATAATGGCTTGGAATTGTTAATCGGAAAGCCAAGTTTCAATTTCTTTTGTGTTCGTTATATTCATTTACGCGCCAATAATCTTGAGAAAAGTATAAATCTACCTTTTCTCACCTCAGTTAATGGTTAATTAATAAGACTTGTATCACTAAATCCTTGTTGTCCCAACAAAATATTCTTACAATCTAAAAATAGATTCTGGCTTTAAATAACATGCAAAAAGTTAATAAGCCTTAGAAAACGAATTAAATATTGGTGATGTCAGTGGAAATGAGATAACTCTAGTCCAGCTAAAAGCTGAGGCTCTTATAGAAAGAATATACAAATAGATTTGGGCATTGAGCAGATTCTACTGGAAAATTTTTATTCTGATGCTGGCTTTTTATAGTAATGACCAAGCCAATCAATCATTGCTTAACTCAGTGATTATCGTAATATGAGAGAGAGAGGGAGAGAGAGAGAGAGAGGGGAGAGAGAGAGAGAAAGAAAGAGAGAGAGAGAGAGAGAGAAAGAGAGAGAGAGAGAGAGAGAGCAGGGTGGTGTCCAGTAGGAAAAAAAAAACATTACTATCTTTAAAAAAAGATTAATCTAATTAGAATTATTTCATTATTTCTCTTCCTGGGGGCAAAAGTTTGAGTTTATTTTGGAATGATCATTTCTTTAAGAAGATAGTTTTGTATTATAGTTTGCTGCTTTCGATCTACACCTTGTTCTGATTTGAGAGATAATCAATAAGGAATATATAATGTATGGTCATCAGCACAAAGATGAGCACGAAATGCAATTTACTGGTCGGGGACGCTAAAATCAAGCAGGAGGGGAAATTTGAATATCTGGGAAGTCTTCCAACAAAGGACGATAAGTGCGACGCAGAGATCTGAAGACTTATTGGGATGGCCCAAAACGCATTCCAAAAGCATATTAAGAGACAAGAGAGGTATGGTTCTACAGAAGGATGTTAAGGATACCATGGACGAAACCACCGAGACAAGAGAGGTATGGTTCTACAGAAGGATGTTAAGGATACCATGGACGAAACCCCCGAGACAAGAGAGGTATAGTTCTAGAGAAGGATGCTAAGGATACCATGGACGAAACCCCCGAGACAAGAGAGGTATGGTTCTACAGAAGGATGCTAAGGATACCATGGACGAAACCCCCGAGACAAGAGAGGTATGGTTCTACAGAAGGATGCTAAGGATACCATGGACGAAACCCCCGAGACAAGAGAGGTATAGTTCTATGAAGTATGCTAAGGATACCATGGACGAAACCCCCGAGACAAGAGAGGTATGGTTCTACAGAAGGATGCTAAGGATACCATGGACGAAACATGTGAGCAACTATGAGATTTTGGAGAGGATGCAACCCAGGAGGAAGCTTATACTTAACATCAGGAAGTAGTAGCTGAAAGAAAGGCTTGGAAAATCTTATAATCACGGAGCGGATAGCGGGAAAGAGGGTCAAGGGAAAGCAACGCGTGACATAGTGGGCTTAAGTAAGTGGATGGCAAAACAGGATCTGGGAGAAATAAAAAAATATATTGAGAGCTACAAGAGACAGTAAGAAGTGAAGAGCCATGATCGCTTACGTCCTGAAGGGACACGTCACATAAAATGAATATATATATATATATATATATATATATATATATATATATATATATATATATTTCCCGAACTTCAGAGGGCTAGAACGCTAGAGGTTGTTCTAGTAATCTGAAGGTCGCAAGAGCATAAAACTGGAGTAACGGCTCGGGCTAGCCTTTAATGGGAATTGACATTACTTTGTATCTTGGTAATCGAGGCCTTGAGCACTTTACTGCTTGCCTTTTGGTCTATTATTCATTTGTCTCTTCTTGATCAGGGACTTTCTAGTCTAAAATTGTTACGTACTATGGCAGGTATGTTGGTCACACCAGCATAGTTAGCTTTTTCTTTAATATATATATATATATATATATATATATATATATATATATATATATATATTTTTAAGACATTTTTACATGTTTAGACATACTTTTTAATAGATACAAATATTTAAGTAAATGCTATGTTTATAATAAATAGTATTAAATAACATTTACCGGCCTGAATGTCCGAGAAATTTTCACAGAAAATATTCGTCCTCTGAATTCAGGCCGGTAAATGTTGTTTAATACTGTTTATTATAAACGTAGCATTTACTTAATTATTTGTATCTATAAAAAAGAATGTATGAACATAAAATGTCTTTAAAAATTGTCGAACTTTTTCCATTTCATAATGTGAGACGTCATATATATATATATATATATATATATATATATATATATATATAAGAAATATAGTCTTAAGGTGTGCTATATTTATGGGATAAAGTGCTCGATATCAGAGATAGAGCGTGTGTAAATATAAAAGTGAACATAGAAGTCAACACTTAGAGGCGACAGTCTGTTTCATGCTATATGCAATCGTCAGGCCATATCGTCATATATATATATATATATATATATATATATATATATATATATATATATATATATATATATATATGTGGTAATGAAGGGTGTGGTAATCCGTGTGGATAAATTCAAAAAAGGATGTAATCCAGAGACCTCAATGTAAGAACAGAGCAAACATTAATTAAATAATTAAGAAAGAGGCAACCTTAAGGTTCCATGACTATAGTTTATTTCCCCAGAAAATATATTTTTCCTGGTTCATCAGGTCACATCTATAGTTACCTTACTAGAGATGTGAGCTGAGTATTTAATTACTATATATATATATATATATATATATTAATTACTCTCTCTCTCTCTCTCTATATATATATATATATATATATATATATATATATATATGATACTAAAGGCTGCGTGCGTGTTTACTTGAGTGCGATGGGTGTTTGATTTGATGAGTGTTCTCGAAGGTCTGTATTTAGTTTGATCGAGTTTGTCATTGCTTTGGTCGCATAATCTACAGCCGACCATCTGATTACACCCTAAACTTCCATGCCGTTTGTGCTTTTCATAATCATACATTTTTCTTCATGCAACATTAACACCCATGTATCGCTCTGCTTGATTGCAATTGTCTTTTAGATAAATATCAAGGAAATAGATGAGATCTATATATAAGTCACTTTATTAAAAAAAATGGCAAATTAACTATTTTTCAAATGGGAATAAAAAGCGTTTTACCATATAGAAATTGATAGGAAAACCAACCATCGCATTACCGCGGTTTCAGAAACTCTGGTATCGTCAGGCATTGAATTAGATTTTCTTTTTGCTCTTTCATTTTGCTATCTGACATCTCTACACAACGACCATTCGTCTATTCTTAGAATATTGCTTCCACAATGGTCTGGTGCTTCTGCTATACATTTAGAAATTCTTTAAAAAATTCAAAGAAGAATCTGTAATGTTGTTGGTCTTGATCTGGCGTTTCGACTTCAGGCTCATTCCCACAGTCGTAATGAAGCTTCCCTGTGCCTTTTCTATAAACACTTTCACGATAAATGTTCTGATGAAATCTCCTCTATGTTACCTTGAGTCTATAAATTTAAGCTTCGTCCTTCCTTCGAGAAAGATTTCATCATTTCACAGTTGAAAAGGCCAGATGTAAGTTCTATGCAAGCAGTTTCGTTTTTCGCACTTCTCCTTTGTGGAACGCTCTTCTGGCTTTTTGATTCCACAAGTTTTATCTTTAAAAATTTAAATGCAATGTCAACCGTTATCTTTTTTTTTCTTATATTCTAGTCTTTTATTATTCTCATTCCTTAATGTTTTTTTTTCCTATACTTTCACACACATTATCCCCCCACAATCACACACCTGCGTGCTAATGTCTACGTTGCTTTACTTGGGGTGAAATGTTAACAAAAAGCGTATCGATAGATTATAGAAAGGAAATTAAACTTAAAAATGAACAAACTCCATGTTATAGGCCATTAATTCAGAAAGAATTAAATCGCCCACGTGATCATAAACACTGGATTTATGACGGATTGCGATGAAATTCCCCGCTCAATACAGCTTTTAAAACCAGTTTGGATTAGCTAAGATTATTGGGTGTCATAGAAATTACAAAGATTTAGAATACATATCGATATCAAAATATGCTACTGCCGGACCACGTTTAGAAAATCCAACAATTTAATACAATTAATGAACAGAAGCGCAAATAGAAAGTCTGTTCAAATTCTAGGCAAGTAAAAAATTGCAACGAGGAGAAATTAAATATATTCTACCAATTGCCGCCTATCTCGACATTTCTGTATATAGACATGATCAGAGGCTATACAGATGCTTTATTCAAAGACGCCCATATATATATATATATATATATATATATATATATATATATATATATATATATATATATATATGAAAGAAGAACAAGAAAGAGAAAGACAGAAAATACATAATGAAAAATATAGAGGATGAGACAGGTATATAGAAATAAAATGTATGTTGATACTAAGTAGAAAATATATATATATGAGCTAAAAACTGAGTTCGAACTCCTGTTGATTCAGTTTATATTCACTTCAAACCTTTTGTCTTGGAAAAGGTATAAACATTTATTCTTACAGTCTGTCTTTTTCCGTTCTCATCGACAAAATGTGTCAGCACAGCCACATATATCTATGTATGTGTGTGAGATTATATATATATATATATATATATATATATATATATATATATATATATATGATAAAATAAAGAACGATATGCATATATATATATATATATATATATATATATATATATATATATGATCAAACAAGAACATTTTACGTGCTTGTGTGGGTGAATATATGTGAAATTTATGCACCGTTCGAACAAATATCATTAGAATTAAATTTTCCAAGCCTACCACGTAAATTGTTGACAAATAAACTGACAGAAAGAGGAAGTGTTTGTTTGTTTGTTTGTGTGTGTGTGTGTGTGTGTGTGTGATATATATATATATATATATATATATATATAGAGAGAGAGAGAGAGAGAGAGAGAGAGGGGGGCATTATTATTATCTGTATACGCGTATATTAGTAATTAGTGTACGTATATAGTTTCGGCAATTGTGTGCTTTTAAAGAAAATTAGATTTCCTCATCGAAGCAATGAGAACAAGTAAAAAAAAATAACTAAAACGAGAAAAGGAAAGGCTCGGTATTAATATTTGGGGTGGGGTATGTGAAAAAGATGGAATGACAAGTGGGATTTTATAAGTGACAATCATCTACGCAGGAGAACAGAAAAATGAAAGTGTAGTCGAACAAATATTAGATACAGACATGTGGAAGTGCGTTTGGAGGTACAGGCAACTGTCAGACAGAGTTCTTCTTAGTGAAACGAAAAGTGAAGCCATTCAATATGGCGATCATAGTGGAATATGCAAGCACGTGAGAAAGAAACGAAGAAGAAATAGATGAATATTACAACACACGAGAAAATGCCAAATATCAAAGAAAGTTACAATAAATTACCATTATTATGGATGGACGTAAATGAAAAATTAGGGAGACAGCAAGATAGTGAAATTGTTGGAAAGTAGGGACTTAGGTCACGCAATCACA